GTCCTCGCCCGGCCGGGGCTCGAAGGCGGCCCTCAGGCCCAGCAGCCAGCAGCGCTCAATGCTGCCCGCCTGCACCAGGTCCCAGGAGAGGCCGGCCAGGTAGAGCATGTCCTTGAGCATGAAGCTGCGCATGAAGTCCAGCGGGGAGCCGCTGGCGCAGGACACAGCCAACCGTAGCAGCTCGCGCTTGTACAGCTGCTTGAAGGCGGCCACCACGCCCTGCTCCAGCGGTGCGGGAATGTGTGCCCGGCTGCTGCCTTTGGACAGGAACAGCACCCGCACAGCGCCATCCGGTGTCTGCAGCTCCTCCGGGGGGCCGAGGGGCTCCGGCCTGCACCGCACGGGGGCATCCTCGCTGTCCTCCAGGGCGGGCATACTGGCAGCTGGGCTTGGGCAGGGCGGGTGGGCCACCAGCAGCACGGCCTTCTGCTGCAGGCAGCTTCGGCGCAGGTAGCGTTTGACGCCCGGGACAAATTCCTCAAAGAACCAGCCCCGCAGCAGCGGGCGGCTGAGCCAGGCGTCGGGGCTGTAGCGGTAGGAGGCCGGGAACTTGTCCTGGTTGTGGTGGCGCAGGCTGGGTGGGTCCGGCAGCCGCCCGATGACCAGTGGCTTCAGCTTGTGGCTGCCGGTCAAGTTGGCGGCCAGCAGCACCGTTACGCGGTCGCCCCGCCATCGCCGGCCGCAGCCCCCTGCTCCAGGGTCCCCTGCGCCCGGGGGCGCAGCCTGCTCCGGAAGCAGCTTCCAGTAGAGGCCGGTGACGTTGGCGTTGTAGATCTGCTCGTCGCCGTAGCCGCCCTCGGCGGGGGGCGGCGGGGCCGGGGCGCGGTCGGGCAGGAGGCCGGCGCCAGAGGGCAGCGTGGGCTCCTCCTTGACCGGCGGGCCGGGCGCGGGGCCCGGGGCGAGGGGCCCGGCCTCGCCGTAGAAGCGCTGGCTGGAGATGCCGTGGCGCTTCTGCCAGCGCCAGAACCAGCCGTGGCTGGCCTTGAAGGTGCACTCGGGCCCGTAGATCTGGCGCGCGAAGGCCTCGGCCTGCGCCTGGATGAGCGGCCCAGACAGCGGCACCCCGTGCTGGCGCAGTGCCAGGAACCAGGCGTACACGGCGCGGTCGATCTCCTCCTCGTTGGCCAGCCGCATCTTCTTGCGCTGAGTGCCCACCTCGCCGCCCAGCTGCTCCAGGAACCAGCGCAGCTTGGGCTCGTCCTTGAGCCAGCCGCGCAGCGTCCCACCCGGCACGCCGAAGTCGCGGCACACACTGGCCTGCCGCTCGCCACCCTTGACGCGCTCGATGGCCTGCAGCTTGTCCTTGATGGAGTAGGCCTTGCGGAAGGCCATCTTCACGGCCACGCGGGGCCGCGGCCCGGGCGCGGGGGGCGGCGGCCGTGCAGCGGGGACGGTGGCCGGGGCGGGCGCGGAGGGCCCGGGCGGGGGACGGCGGCCGCGGCGCGGGACCGGGCCGGTCGGGGGACCCGCGGGGTACATGGCGGCGGCGGCGAGACCGGTGCCGCGGGTCGCGGGAGCCACACGCCCAGGCGCTCGGGGCGGGGCACTCGGGGGCGGGGCCGCGCGGGTCCCTCCCCTTTGTCCCGCAGCTTGGCGGGCGCACGCGCGCTGACGCAGCCCGGCCCGGCCCCGCCCCGCGCCTGCGCGCTGGCCGCCTCGTGCGTCACTCGGCGCGTGCCGGCCTCCGGCCCCGCCCCACCGGCGACACCACTGGCCTCGAGACGCAGGGGGGCGCGCGCGCAGCCGCCCGTTCCTAGCATTTGTGCAGACTCCTCCGCGGAAGAGCGGCCTCCGCATTCGTCTCCAACGGAATTCTGCCTTTGAAGTGTCGGGGCGCAGCGCGTCTAGGGCCCCGGCGGCCAGGCGGAGCGTGTGCAGGGGCCGCGTTCCCCCCTGGGCCCCCGGCCCGCGGCTCTTGGTAGAGCCCAGTGCTTCATTTCCCGTGCGCGGCCTGGCCGGCCCTCCCTTTCCTCAGGCATCCCGCGTCCGCCGATTCCTCCTCCCTGGTCGCCGAGTCCTTGGCTGGCGTGTGAGTACCGCGGCCCCTGCCGGAAGGAGCCGGGCGCGTCAGAGACGCCCGAGAGGCCGGGAGGGCGGGCGGCCCGGGCTGCTCCAGAAGCTCGCGCTGTTAGGGACTGAGGCGCAAGTGCGCCAGCGCCGGCTTAGGGGACGTGGGCCAAGTACGGCTTTTGGGGCGAGCGCAGAGGGGCGGGGCGACCGAGGCCACGTGGCCGGCCTGGAGGGCGTCCGCGGGCCAGGGGTGCCGGGAGCACTGACTCACGGCGCATCCCGGTCGTGGGAAGCTCCTCGGCCAGGCTGCTGGGGCCTAAGGCCTGTGTTTGCTGCCGTCTCCGTGGGAGACCAAACATCTGCCCCAGCTGTTCTCTGGCCTGCAAACCTTCATCCACCACGTGTTTATTAAGCACCAGTTACTGCACGCATCAGCTGAGCACGGAGGGGATAAGCACGGACGCAACACTCTTGGTGCTAGTGAACACGGAAATGAATAAGCCTGTATTGTGACTGAGTCAAAATTTCTGTCTCTTGATTTGGAGATAGGGTGGTCGGGCAGCCTCTGAAGGGGGCGGGGATGGTGTTGCTAAGTAGTAGTACTTTCAGAGGCTTTAAGTGGAAGGCGGCAAAGGGGGCGGAGTGAGTTGGGGACCTGATGAGACATCAGGATTGGTTTCCAGAATGAAGGACTGCCTGGCAGCAAAAGAACTGTGTAGCTAAACCTGGGGTCGTCCTTGCCTGACAGGGCGGGGTGCTTCTTAAGTTGACACTGCCTGTGGCTCACCTCCCAGGGAGGCAGGCCAGGCCATCTCACCTGAGCAGCCTCCTTCTACAGCTCCGACCGTCCCGTCATCTGGACCCCATGAGCCTTAAGCAGCTGGCTCGCAGGCAGTTGGTTACTTCCGGAACCCTGTGTGTGCCCAGCCCTGTTCTGGGGGTGGGGGATGCAGCCGAGGTACTCGGAAGGTGTGGAAGGAGCCCCCGAGTGTCCTCTGAGGAAGTGGACGCTTACCTTCGCCTTCTCACTAAATGCCTCCGGCCTAGCCAGGCTCCCAGACCTGCCCCTGTAGAGACTTTCTGGGCGCAGTGCCAATCCTGTGAGACAGCAGCATCTCCCCTGGGCTGCTGCAGGGTTTACACGTGGTCAGTGCTGGCAGAGTGCGCACCCAGCCAGCAGAGCCCCTGCTGCCTCCCGCCCCCTCTGGAGGACTAGGCCCTCTGGGCTTTGCTTCTGGGTTGCTGGGTGAAGCTGCTGCAGGGTTTAGCACAGGTGGGCACATGTGCTTGATGATGGACAAAGAGTATCGGGGCTGTGCCGTGCACTGGCATCAGCCTTCTGGGGGCTGAGGACAGGAAATGTGGCATTGAGCATTTGTGTGTCATCATCCTGTGCCAGTGTTGTGAGGTGACAGCAGTGTGTTGGAAGCTGGTGGCAGTGTGTTATGCTAAGTGCTGGTGTAGGAGCCTGTCACAGGGCTCCAGCTCTCCCGCCTCGCTGACAGCCAAGGGTGCCGTGTGAGGTGTGGCGTGGGTCTTGTATTGTCAGGGGTTCCAGAAAGCCTGTGCAGTGCTGGAGCCACCCAGGAGGCACGGGGGCTGCACTGGGCAGGCAGGGTCGGCCAGAGTCCCGCAAGCAGGGCTGGACGTGCAGCTGACCTGCAGTGGCATTTCAGAACAGACATGGTTGGGGTGGGGCTTGGCCTGGGGCAGGGTGGCTTGGGTAGCTACAGTGAGTGCTCTGAGGTATGCAGGGCAGGCTGGTGTTTCCCAGTAGGGGTGGAATATCCAGGGGTCAGACAGGAAAGTGGCTGAGTGGGAATGTGGAGCTGTGGAGGTTTTTTTTTTTTCTTATCTCTTCAAAAGACCAAAGGCGGCTGGGCGCGGTGGCTCATGCCTGTGATCCCAGCACTTTGGGAGGCCAAGGCGGGCAGATCACGAGGTCAGAAGATCAAGACCATCCTGGCCAGCATGGTAAAACCCCATCTCTACTAAAAACACAAAAATTAGGCCAGCCACGTGGCTCATGCCTGTATTCCCAGCACTTTGGGAGGCCAAGGTGGGCAGATCACCTGAGGTCAGGAGTTCGAGACCAGCCTGGCAAACGTGGTAAATCTCTGTCTCTACTAAAAATATGAAAAAAAATTAGCCAGGTGTGGTGGCAGACGCCTGTAATCCCAGCTCCTTGGGAGACTGAGGCAGGAGAATCGCTTGAACCCGGGAGGCGGAGGTTGCAGTGAGCTGAGATAGTACCACTGCACTCCAGCCTGGGTGACAGAGCGAAACTCCGTCTCAAAAAAAAATTAGCTGGCCATGGTTGCACGTGCCTGTAGTCCCAGCTACTTGGGAGGCTGAGGCAGGAGAATCGCTTGAACTGGGGAGTTGGAGGTTGCAGTGAGCCAAGATCGCGCCACTGCACTCCAGCCTGGTGACAGAGCGAGACTCAGTCTCAAAAAAAGAAAGACCAAAGGCCTCCACGCAGGAAGACATTGATCTGTCCTGTGCGCTGCCCTGCTGTGCGGTGGTTCTCTAGCCTCATTTTAAAGGCTAGTCGTTGCGCCCTTTGGGCACTGAAAATAAAGTTGTATCAGGCAGTGCCAGTCCAGACTCAGGCCAGCCAGGTGGGCCAGAGAGAGGCGCTGCTGGGAGGGGTGGGCATGCACAGGCTGAGCCGGTGGCTGACCCCATCCCCTGTCCCCCTCCCTGACTTCTCCCGGTGGAGGCTGGACAATCTGGGACCCCATCCTCTTCCTGACTCCTCCCGCAGGCTGGACACCTGGGACCCACCTCCTGCCCAGGCACTCCTGACTCGGTGGAGGCTGACACCTGGGAGCGTCCCTGCCCACCTCCCTGACTTCCTCCGTGAGGCTTGAACACCCTGAACTCCGATCCCAGCCCACCTCCCTGAGACTCCGGGGAGGCTGACAACTGGGACCCCATCCCCTGCCCACCTCCCTGACTTCTCCCGGTGGAGGCTGGACAATCTGGGAACCTGTCTGTATGTGCGACTGTGATGGGGTGGCTTGGAGGGCCGGGCCGGGAGCCAGCTCCTCCCAGAAAGCTTCCGTTTGCCCAGGTGTGTGGAGGCCTCCAGACTGTGAAGCACCTTGGTGGCCACAGCTCTCCAGGACGTCCTCACCTTCCTCAGGGCCCTGCCCTCCTGACCTGAAGTCTTCTGGGTAGGAGTGTCCTTGCCGGGGCTGTTCCCAGGACGGGGACAGGGGAGGCTGTGAGAGCCATGGCACTGCAGTGGGTCTTGCTGGGTACCACCTGTGTCACAGGCCCTATTAGCTGGGTAGGGCCTTCCAGAGCCAGGACCCCACGGTACCCTCAAACTCTGGGCAGCTACCAGAGGCTCGGGTGTTCGGCAGACACTGTCTGCCCCTCAGGGAAGAGCCTTGGTGGTGAACCTGGCCTGCTTCCAGGAGCAGAGTAGGGATACTTGGGCTATTTCCCTCTGGGGCCTGACTCTGGCGTTTCCAAGACTGCTTCTCTGACAGCCGGCTGTCTCCCTGTGTTCTCTTTAGCAAGCTCCTCCCGTGCTTGGATAAACTGCAGGAGCGAAGGGGCTGACTGTTTGTAGGGATGCGGTTGAAAAACTCGTTGCGCCCTACTCCGGGCTCTCCTGCTGGAGGAGAGAGGCTTGCATGTGCCTGTCGGCGCAAGCGTTGAAGCTCAGACTTGATCTCTGTTAGGAGAGATGGTGCGCTCCGTCCGGCAGGTCCTCTCGTGCTTGGGAACACAGGAAGCGGGGAAATGAGGAGGTGGGCTTGGAGGTGTGGGGAGCTGTGCTGGCTGTCCTGGGAGGCTGTCTGCCCGCTGTCAGTGGCCAGCTCCCCAGGTGATGGGCCTGGCCTCCAGGTCTCCAGCATGGCTCACTGTGGTGTCTCCTGAGGGCTTCCTCTCTGCAGGGAAGCCCACCCAAGACCCCTCTTACTGGTCCTATGGGGCAGCTGCCTCCGTAGCATCCTCATCTCCACCTGACCCCTGCAGGGTGCCCAGTTCCTCCCAGCAGGGTGCTCCCTGCTGCAGTGTGGGGTGCACAGAGGTGGGCAGGGCCCTGGGGCCAGTGCTTCGGTTGGTGAAGGAAGACAGATCCCAGCCAGGGCTCCTAGGGTTGCTCAGAAGTAGGAGGTGGCCCCTCCTGCCCAGTCCCACCCAGGACACAGGCTGGTGGCTGGGCTTTCAGCTGTGCCCAGCTACCCTTCCCAGAGCTTGCAGAGTTTATGAGCTGGCTCTTGTGAGATTAGGAGCCAGACACCTAGTGTCTCCAGCTGAGGAGTAAACGGGGTGAAGGTCCTGTCCTTGTGTGCACACTGTGGGAGAGTGAGTCCGGGAGGCCTTTGCGGCTTGTGCTGGGGCCCTTGGGTGCCAGCCCTGTCTTGATGGTGGCTCCTGCTGAGAGAGGCCCTGCACCAATGCAGGCCCTGGGCTGCCTCCGCCTTAAGGGTCCTTGTCATCTTCTGGGCTCCTTCAGCCGACCCGACACAGCGGCAGTGCAGGGGGCTTGGGGAGCGCCTTGGCAGCTCCAGGGGATGCTTGTGGGCGTTGGTTTACCTTGTCTCAGGCTGCCTTGCTCAGGTGACGACAGGGTGGGTGGATTTGGGAAAGGTTGGCTCAGATAGTGGCCCCTGCTTGTCCCCCAGCCTGGGCTCCAGCTAACAGTAATCCCAAGAGCTCCCCTTTCAGGGGATGACGGAGTGATGCCGCCTCGAGCGTGTGGACTCAGCTGCCACCTGGGATTGTGGTGGTGGTGGGTCTGTCTGGCGCTCAGCTTCCGTCTCCATCAATGTCACCTCCACGCCACCTCGCCAAGCAGCTTCTGGAAAGGCCTTCGGCCGGCTCGGGCTGCCCTGCTGCTGTGTCTGACCCGGTTAGTCTTTCTGGCTGCCTCTAACTTTGCTGCTTTTCCTTCATGCTGTCCTAGGAGGCCAAAGCAAAGTAAGTACCCACCTGACCTCATGCCCCATTCCCCTTCATTTGACCAGGGAACCCCCAGCCATCACTGCACCCGAGGGAACCCCAACACCACCTGTGCATGACCCAGTCTGCCCAGAGGGGCTACAGTTTCCCATCTGTAAAGTGGAGGAATTGGGTTTTCTGGATGGGGCAGCAGCAGGTGGGCACCCTGTGTGGCCCTAAGCAGGGTCCTGGCCTGGGCTGGCAGGTCAGCACCTGACACGCTGCTCCCTGTGGGGAAGTGGTGGCAGTGCCAGGTCTCCGTAGGAGCCTTAGAAATGGCTTCCCCTCGCTGAGTGGCAGCTTCTGCCCGGAGCCCCCAAGAACATAGTCTGAGGCCACTTTGGCCAGTAAAGTCTGGTAGGGCATTGACACTGGGGGCCAGCTTAGTGGCACTGCTGATGGGACCTGCATGGGATCAGAGAGACTGGCAGGGGTCTACCGCACGATGTCACAATGCCCTGTCTCCTGGGCTCTTGCTCCCACCTCCAACCCCCAACCCCCAACCCCTGCCTCTGCCCATCAGCCTGGTCTTGGTAAGTGCTGCCCCAGCCTGGGGGAGGAGTGAGCAGGGGAGCCGAGGGGCTTCTTCATGGGCCCTGTGGCCTCCTGGCCATGGTTCCTGGTTGGTGCCATTAGAACTCATTGCTGGGACTGAGGGATTCTGGCTACATGCCCGGAAAAAACTCCATGTTCCACTTAAGAGGCTTCAGAGTACAGTGCGGGGGGCCTTCCCAAAGGTCCTCCCCGCCTGGCTGGAGTGTAGACAGCTCAGCACCCCACTGGAGGCATTGGGACCTGCCTTGGTTTTGTTGAGTAAGGATGTTAGGAGAGGGGCGTAGACCCGTAGCCACTGGTGTGAAGGGTCTGTTCTTGACCGAAGGCTGCCTCCCTCTGGGTGAAGACCAGGCAGGTGGTCCCAGTCACAGCCACGTGCCCTGGGGCCACTGGGTCAGCCCTCAGGCTCCACTAGACACATCTGCGGAGGCAGCTGACTAGCAGCAGTGTCCGTGAGGGGCAGCTGCACGCCGCCTCTTGAGGGTGCTCCTAGGTGTTGGTTAGACCCAGGCGTTTCTGCTTTTGGGGAGCAGAGCCTGGAGTCAGGCATGGCTGGGGAGGAAGATATCGCAGGCCAAGCGCAGGCCGGGGCGTTGACCTGCATCCCAAGAGCAGATTTGCCCCTGGCCTTCTGCGTCTGTCCTTTCTGTAACACCACACTGGACACCTGGGAGCAGAGCATGCCCCCAGCAGGATCCCACATGGCTGCTGGAGCACTGGGGCAGCAGATGACTGAGGTTGCCCAGAGCTTGAGGGAGCACCTCATCCAGGGAGGAGGTTGAGGCTCCCAGGCCTCATTGGGGGTAGCAAGTGGGGGTGGAGCCTCACAACCTGCCTCCCACCAAGATGGTCCCTCTTACATCACACAGAACCCAACCTGAGAGGAGACCCTGATGTCCTGGGACTGTGAGATCCCCATGATGCCCCTTTAGCTTGGATGGACCCAAAGATACGGACTCCGGTTGGGAGGCCGCGGCGGCTGATAGCCCAGAGCCGTCTCAGTGCTCCAGGCGCTTGGCCCCTCCTTTCTACACACTGGTCACCAGCATCCTCCCTGGCGAGTCCTGTTGATGTGACCCTTCACGAGTGGGCACTCCACCCTCTGCCCAGTCACCTGGCCCCCTCCCGGGGAGGACAGTCAGGCCCACAGAGAGGCTCCCTCTTTTTTTTTTTTTTTTTTTTTTTTTGAGACAAGTTTCCTGGAGTGCAGTGGCGAACTCTGCTCACTGCAAGCTCCGCCTCCCGGCTTCACGCCATTCTCCTGCCTCAGCCTCTGAGTAGCTGGGACTACAGCCTCCCACCACCAAGCCCGGCTAGTTCGTTTTTTTTGTGTGTGTGTGTTTAGTAGAGACAGGGTTTCAACGTGTTAGCCAGGATGATCTCAATCTCCAGACCTTGTGATCCATCTGCCTAGGCCTCCCAAAGTATTGGGATTACAGGGGTGAGCCACCGCACCCAGCTGAGGCTCCCTCTTTTCTAAGACCTTTGAGTGTGCTCTGGGTGTGATACTGGTGTGGCCAGGACAGCCACAGAGGCCATTCTGTAGGATGGGAACACCAGCCACCACAGTGGGGTGGCCAAGCCTGTCCTATGCAAAAATGCAGAGAAAGCCAGTTAGCCAGTTAAAGCCTACTTCCGATAAATGATTAAAATTTTTATGGTATGAGTATGTCTCAGATATTTCATGGGCCATACATTCACTTTAAAAAGGTATGTATTGTTCATGTATTGGGAGGCACTTGGCCTCCCAAAGTGCTGCGATTACAGACATGAGCCACTGCACCCAGCCTGTTTTCTCTTTACAACAGAGCATCCCCCACATGGGCTTGACTTTCAAGTCCTTGAATGTCATCTCATGAAAGCCCCACTGGGGAGCATCCTCAGCCCCTGCCCTGGGAGGGCAACCACGGGGAGGGTGGGCACGGGGCCACGGCCACCCGCAGTGTTGCAACTCTGCCCTCTGCTTGCTTTTTATCGCTGTGTCCGGAAGATGAGGAGCGGGAAGGCCTCCTGCACCCTGGAGACCGTGTGGGAAGACAAGCACAAGTATGAGGAGGCCGAGCGGCGCTTCTACGAGCACGAGGCCATGCAGGCGGCCGCCTCCGCCCAGCAGCTGCCAGCCGAGGGGCCAGCTATGAATGGGCCCGGCCAGGACGACCCTGAGGACACTGATGAGGCAGAGGCCCCTGACGGCAGCAGCAGGAGTGATTCCAGGAAGAGCCAGGACGGCAGGAAGCCCCTGCAGAAAAAGAGAAAGCGCTCCCCCAAGAGTGGGCTCGGCCCGGCGGCCCCGGCCCTCCTGGGGCTCTCAGCCGAACGCGTGTGGCTGGACAAGTCACTTTTCGACCAGGCAGAGAGCTCCTACCGCCAGAAGCTGGCAGATGTGGCTGCCCAGGCCGCCCAGCCTCCTGCCTTGGCCCCTTGGGGTCCCTGCACCCATGGAAGCCAGGTGGCCTGCCACCACGTGACCTGGGGGACCTGGGTCAACAAGTCCTCCTTCGACCAGGCTGAGCGGGCCTTTGTGGAGTGGTCTCAGTCCCTGTTGCTGGCTCCCGAGGGTGACCACAGGCAGGGGACTCCTGACACAGGCCAGCAGGCGGCCGTCCCCAACCCGGCCCACCAGCCCAGCCCACCGGTCAATGGCCAGCCCCCGCTGGGCAGCCTGCAGGCACTGGTCCAGGAGGTGTGGCTGGAGAAGCCCCGGTATGATGCAGCCGAGAGGGGCTTCTACGAGGCCCTGTTTGACGGCCATCCCCTGGGGAAGGTGCGCCTGCAAGAGCGAGCTGGCCTGGCCGAGGGTGCCCGGAGGGGCCGCAGAGACCGGCGGGGCCGCCACGTCTTAGGGAACAAGCGGGCTGGGCCGCGGTGGGCCGACGGGGAGGCCCCCTCCGCCTTGCCCTACTGTTACTTCCTGCAGAAGGATGCAGAGGCCCCCTGGCTCAGCAAGCCTGCCTACGACAGCGCTGAGTGCCGCCACCACGTTGCCGAGGCCCTGCGCATGGCCTGGTGCCTCGAAGCTGCCTCCCTGTCTCACCGACCCGGTCCTCGGTCTGGCCTGTCCGTGTCCAGCCTGAGACCCAAGTAGGAGAAACGTGCTGGGTGGGCACCCAGCCTGGGCTGTGGGCACAGGGACAGCCGTCCCAGGCTGGGGCTCCTCCAGCTTCCTCCCCTGCCCACCTGGGGTGGGGGCTCCCCGAGACCTTGGGCCCAGCTGAGTTGAATGCAGCAGGAGGCTGAGTAAAGGTGGTGCTGTGCTTGGGCAGTGTGGGTTCCAGGGACACTGCTTGGGGTTACAAAGTTCTGAGCTGTCTGGATGGGGGCAGGGAAGGGGTCAACACAAGGCAGAATCTCTGCCTCGCCCAGGGTCCCTCTTGGGCTGGGAAGCTCCCCGAGTCCCCTGTGGCTGTCACATGCCAGGGCTGAGAAGACAAGGCTACCCATAGGAGCAGGAAGCATTGAAGCTGGTTTCTGGCCCTGTGATGAGACATGGGAGCCAGTGTGTCCCTGCCTGCCCGTCCTGGGAACCCCCAGCTTTCCTTGTCACCTGAAACTACCTCTGAGGGAAGGTGGTGGCATCTCAGATGCATGGGCATATGGCTGGTCAGGTGGCCTCCATCCCAGGGTGCCCGGTCTGTGTGACCTCCCTCTGGGTACTGGGGGCTTGCTCCAGGATGCAGGTGCAACCCCAGCAGCGGTCTCTGGGGCCAGGCAGGTGGGTAGGCGATTGTACGTGGAAGGGAATACAGAGGGCATGGAAGTGGCGAGGCTGGCCTGCTGGCGAGGGCGTCCTGGTGGTGGGGCGGGCTGAGTCAGGGAAGGACTCTGAAGGTCCCAGCCGAGTGTCCCAAGCAGCTGCCTAAGCCCCCAAGGAAGTGGTGCCAATCCAGATCCAGGGGTCTGGATTTGCTGGTTGACAAGATCACCTGAGGGCGGGACCTCATGGGGGAGTGCTAACCTCCTGCCCTTCCACCTGCCCTGGTATTCACGGTGGCCTGGTCCCTCCTCGCCAGGAGAGTGTCCTGGGTGAGGGACGCGGAGGAGGCTCACAGACTCCAGCCCTTTGTTACCGAGAGGACACTTGACAAGGTCCAGCGATGGTCCGGAGTGCACACACAGACGGGCGGCAGAGCGGGATGGGGACAGTTCTGATGTACTTGGTTGGACAGTAGGAGGGTCTTGGCCAGTCCAGGGTCGGAGGCAGCAAACTCCATAAAGAACCAGAGGGTCTGGGCCCCAGCCACAGAGTCGTCTGCCCAGCTCCTCTGCTGCCGGCCAGTGGGAGGAGCACGAGGTGGGGCTGTGTGCCAGTAAAACCACGGGCTGGATTTGCCTGTGGGCCATAGTCCCTGTCTAGGGCACCAATTCTCGACCTTCTTGCTCTCAGGACCCCCAAACAGCTTTCATTGTACCTATTGATTTTTACCACATTAGCGATTAAAACAGAAATGGGCCGGGCGCGGTGGCTCACGCCTGTAATCCCAGCACTTTGGGAGGCTGAGGCGGGTGGATCACCTAATGTCAGGAGTTCAAGACCAGCCTGGCCAACATGGTGAAACCCCTTCTCTACTAAAAATATAAAAAATTAGCCAAGCACAGTGGTGCACACTTGTAGTCCCAGTTACTCGGGAGGCTGAGGCAGGAAAATCGTTTGAACCCAGGAGGCGGAGGTTGTGGTGAACTGAGATCACACCACTGATTCCAGCCTGGGCAACAGAGTGAGACTCCCTCTCAAAAAAAAAAAAAGAAATGCTAAGTGTAATTATTTGTTGAAGAAGAAACTCGTTACATGTTACTAACTTTTTTTTATGAGAAATACTTTTCCCATAACCAAAAAATTCAATGAGCAGAATGGCCTTGCTTGAGATTTTTGCAAATCTCTTGGGTGTCTGGCTTAGTGGGAGGCAGCTGGGCCCTTGTACCTGCCTCCGCACTCCAGCTGTTTGACATAAACCCAGCTTCATGTGAGTGAAAGGGTAGGGCCTTGGGACCCCCAGAGGTTCTTGGACCACACTTTGAGAACCCCTCGTCTGGAAGACAGGCCTGGGGACGCCATGTGGGGTGAGGGCTTACGGGCTTGGGGTCGCTTTGTGGAGAACCACTGGTGTTTGAAGTGGGTGTCAGCCCTGCCGCACCCGGGCTTCTGGGCTCTTCTGACGGGGGTCTCTGTGGGGAAGGGTGAGGCCAGGGCTGTCTCGACCCCACTTCCCAGCCATGTTGACTTTGCCTCTTTCCCTTCCCAGCAGAAAAATGGCTACAAACTTCCTAGTACATGAGAAGATCTGGTTTGACAAGTTCAAATATGACGATGCAGAAAGGAGATTCTACGAGCAGATGAACGGGCCTGTGGCCGGTGCCTCCCGCCAGGTGAGGGCTGCATGTGGGGTGACTGGGTGGCTCTGCTGCCCGAGAGGAGTGGCCGGGGCACATGAGGAGGGTTCAGCCAGGTTAGGAGGGCAGAGGCACCCTGGCCCAGTGGCTCTGCTGTGGGTGCTGGGCGTGGGGTCTTGGGGCAGGCGGCCTTGGCCGGGCCCCCGGGGCTGGGTCTGCTCAGGGCCCTCCTGCTGGTGCCTGTGCAGGTGGCATGGGGCCAGGCCTGGCACTTGTTCCCCGCAGACATGGGCGCCTGTGCCTGTCATCACAGCCTCAGGCACCTCCCACTTTTCTGGCCCGCTGAGCTCTCGTTCTGTGCAATACTTTCTTGCTGTCTCTATGTGAGGGTTCATGGGATTTTTTGGTTTGTTTTTTAATTAAATTCTTTTTTAATAAAAAAAAAAAAAGACTGGTTCTTTCTGCACTGTCTGCAGGAGAATGGCGCCAGCGTGATCCTTCGTGACATTGCGAGAGCCAGAGAGAACATCCAGAAATCCCTGGCCGGAGTGAGTACCCGCGGCCCACGGACCCGCGGGCTCCTGCTCGGCCAAGTAGCATGTCTCATTTTTCCTGATGCTGCTGGTGGTTTGGCTTCACAGCAGAGTCAGGGCGGAGTGCACGGCGCTGTGCTCCTGGGACGTGTGGCTCTGTGGCCTCCAGGCCCGGACTGCCATGGACAGTGTTCTTACTCTCGCGTCCCTTCTGTGCTTACCTCTTGTCTGCCTGCTGGCGGTCACACTGGCCGTTCTTGCGGGGCCGGCTGGGAGCTGAGTGGTGCCATTCGCAGGGTGTGCTGTGGGCGCCTGCTGTGAGGGCCTGTGCTTCCCTGCTTGCTCCCCGTGGCAGGACTGTGTGTCTGCCGGGGCTTCCTGCGTTCCCTCTTAGATCTTGCCTCACTGGGGAGAGTAGTGGTTCTGCAAGGTGCAAGGCGTTCCGAGCCTAGAGTTGGCACCATCTTGAGTTGGAGACCCAGAGAGGAGCCCTGTAGCCCTGCTTGGCCTCCAGGCCCCGGGCGGAGATCAGGAGTTGGAGGCAGTGGCTGCAGCCTGACAGGCTGGTTGGGGGAGGGTTGTCCTCTGGGAGGTGGCAGCCCTGGTATTCCCAAGGAGTTGGGGCTGCGTTCTCCCTGGGATGGGGTACTGTCCTGGCCCCGAGAACGGGGTCAGTGTTTCTGTGGCTGCTGCTGTGGCTTTCCACAGCTTCACACTGGAAACAGTACATATGTATCATGCCAGGTTTCCAGGCCAGAAGTCTGAAATGTGTCTCACGAGGCTGACCCCAGTGTCAGCAAGGTTGCCATCCTTCCCAAGGCTCAGGAGGAGTCTGTTCCTTTGCCTCTCCCAGATTCCAGTGGATGCCCACATTGCTTGTTTCGAGGTGGCCAGCAGGCAACCTCGTCACCCCCGCCTCCACTTTCATCTCACGCCTCTCTCCGAGCCTCCTGCCTCCCTGTCACTTACATGATTATTGTGTTTGCTTTGGGCCCGCCAGGATCCCAGGTCCAGGATGTTCCCCACCTCAAAATCCTGAGTTTAATCATATTTGGTGATTCTTCTTTTTGCCACGTCAGGTAGTGGATTTGCAGGCTCTGGGGGTTGGGACGTGGGTGTCGGAGATTCTCATTGCCTCATTCGTAAGGTGTATTGCTCCCCACCAACATCTGCAGAAGCCTGGGTCCCCCACAGTGTCCCTCCAAAGTCCAGAATCCCATCCAATCAGGCATGGGGGATTGCATGGTCCATCCTGAAGCAAAATTCCTCTCCATCTGTGGACCAGTGAAACTGGAAAACAAATTATCTGTTCCCAAAATACAATTGTGGGACAAGCATTCCCTTTAAAAATGGGAAAAAGAAGAAGGAAACAACAGGGTGTCACTAGTCCCCAGCAGTCACAGTCCAACCCGCGGGTCGCATGAGGTTTGAAGGGCGCACTCCTGTGTGGCCCATGGTCCCCCCCACTGTCATTTTTTAACATCCCTAATCCTACCAACAGCATGTTCGTGGCGGTTTAGGTTTAGGTTGTTCTAAAAGATGATGTGCCCTGCTCCTCACCTTCTCTGAGTTTTCACTGAGGGGCTTAGCATCTGAATCCTGTCAACAGTGTGCTCAAGATAGGCTAGGCTTTTTCTTTTGGCAGGGGTGGGTGGGTTGTGGACAGAATCTTGCTCTCTCGCCCAGGCTTGGAGTGCAGTGGCATGATCCTGGCTCACTGCAATCTCCGCCTCTGGGGTTCAAGCAATTCTCCTGCGTCAGCCTTCCAAGTAGCGGAGATTACAGGTGCCTGTCACCAAGCCCAGCTGATTTTTTTTGTTTTCTTTTTTTTTTAGTAGAGACGGGGTTTCGCCAGGTTGACCAGGCTGGTCTTGAATTCCTGACCTTATGATCCACCTGCCTCGGCCTTCCAGAGTGCTGGGATTACAGGCGTGAGCCACCGCGCCCGGCCCAGTCTAGGGTTTTTGTGTCATGCTCCTCAGAGTTCTTCCCACCTCACCACTGCCCAACTCCAAAGCCACCTCCATATTGTTAGGCATTCCAGCAGCACCCCACTTCCTGGGCCAAGATCTGTGTTGGTTTCCACTTGATGTTGCTGTAACACTGTCACACTTCAGTGGCTTAAAACAGCACAAGTTCCTCACCTTACAGTTCCAGAGGCCAGAAGTCTGAGATCGTCTTACGGGGCAAAATCAAGGCTGTGGTCCTTCTGGTGTCTCTGTGGGGAGAATCCGCTTCCTTGTCTCTTCTGGCTGCTGGAAGCTACTCACAGTCCTTGGCTCAGCCTGCCTCTCCCTTTCCTCGCTCCTGCTGCCTCGTGTGGGCCCTTGTGATGACAGCGTCCCCGCCTGGGTGATCCAGCATCTTCTCTCCATCTTGAGATCCGCTTAAATTAATCATACCACATCTGCAGAATCCCTTTTGCCATGGGAGACTATATTTACAGGCTCTGGGGACTTGTATGTGGACATCTTTGCGGGGGCCATGATTCTGTCTGCCACAGTCACAGCCAGCTAGGGGTGCGCTGGTTCCTGAGCCATAAGCTGGGCATCCCTGGGTGGGTGGGCCCAGGAAGGGCTGCCACTCCTGTCTACCAGGTGGGTGCTTCTTCATGCCTTGCGTTCTGTCCAGATCCCAACCCAGCACCCGTAGCTTGCCCAGGCACCTGACCAGGTCCAGGCTAGGCAGACACGAGATTAAGGTACCACAGATTTTTGCACCCAAGTCAGGCATACTGCCGTCCAGTGCCCAGAAGGCAGTGGTCAGGAGCTTGGCCCTGGGGCTGTAGGAACTCTTCAGCCCTGGCTGTGTGGGGTCAACCCTGAAGTCATGGTCTCTGGGACAGGCAGGTATTCACACTGTTAGGGCTTAGGGACTGGTTTGCTGCTATAACAAAGTTCCATAGACTAGGTGACTTAAACCACATGTATTTTCTCACAGCTCTAGAGGCTGGAAGTCCATGATTGAGGTGGCAGCAGGGCTGGTTTCTCCTGAGGCCTCTCAGCATGTACACAGTCTTCTCCATGTCCTCACACAGTCATCCCTCTGAGTGTTTGTATGTCGTGATGTCTTCTTATTAGACACCAGTCGGATTGGATTACCCCCCGCCCCTCAGTGACAATTATCTCTGTAAAGGCCTTGTCTCCAAATAAGGTCACATTCTAAGATACTGGGGGATAAGACTCCAGCATGTGGATTTGGAAGGACATTATTCAGCCCATGGCAGGGGCCCAGTCTCATCTTGGATTTGGGGTGGGAGTGCTCAGCAGACACTGGGGTTTCAGAACTGCAGGGTTTCTGGGAATGTGGTGCTGGCACAGGATTTACTGGCATGGGTCTGGCTCTGAAGTATTTGCCTTTGGTATCCCCTAAGTCCCTGAGGGGCTCTCTGAGGCCCGCTCTGATTGCACTGGGTGACTTGAACCTGCCCCATTGAAGCTGTGCTCAGGGACTCTGATGCCTAGCATCCTTGGTCCCCCCGAGTCAGCATCAAGGGAGGGGGCTGCCCCTCTGGCCTGAGTGCTGTGGGCTGTGGCCTAGTGGCCTAGGGAGGGCAGTGGTGAAACAGTCCCCACTGCTCCTCATGCAGCTCCGGGCCAGTGCTGACTTAGTGCCTCTTCTAAAGGGGACCTTTTGCTTGTCCTTGGCCTGCTATGTGGGGTGCAGGAGGCCTCAGGTGCCCTGGCCCTGCCACTCACGGATTCTGGCCTCCTCGGGACCCAGCCCCACCCCCTCAGGAGGTCTACTGTGATTCTCCATGCCCCCTGACGCCCCACAGCCTGGCCCTCCCATGCTCCAGCTTCTGCCCCAGAGCTTGTCAGTTTCTGCCGGTGCCTTCCGCACCCCCACCACCATTCACGCGCCCCTGCCAGCCTGGCCTTTCCCTGCCCATTTCCTCCTGTGCCAGGTGGGCCTCCTGGGCCACAGTCTTAGCATTGTCCATGATCTGTGGGGCTTAGCTTCCATACTCTCCAGATACATAAACAAGCATTCCCCACAGCATGGTCCCAAGGACTGGCAGGAGGGCCCCAGGGCTGGTGCTGCACGTTGGGCAAAGGCCTGAGTGTGTCTGCACCTGCTGCAAGGAGCAGGTTTGTCTGCCCAGCTGCTGCAGGCCCCTCCTCATAGAGAGGGAGCCTCGGGGAGCTGCCAAGATGGGGTTGGCTGAGAGCGCCATGCAGCCAGGTACACCCTGTCCTTAGAGCCCTCGTGTTGGTGGGTGGGCAGGCTAAATGGCCCATGCCTGCAGGTAGATGAGTTAGGACTGGCTACTGTTAAGGGCCAGGAGGCTAGGAGCCTATCTGGGCCCCAGGGCATCAGTCTGAGCTATGGCGGAGTATGAGGTGGGCTTGGGGCCCTGGGTCACCTAGAGACTGGCTTGCTGAGTGAGATGGCAGGCATGAGGCCCATGGAGACAAAGCTCTGGGTGGCTGCTGTCCACACAAGTGGGCTCCTTCCTCCTGCCCCCACTGGGCCCTCAGCTGCTCCCACCTCCCATTTCCAGTGCTGCCTGGTCCCCTGAGGCCTGTCCCAGGTTGTCCCTAGGACTGTGAGTCCTTCACCATCTCCCACCCAGCCTCTGAGCCTGGCTGCTCAGCAGGATCCTGACGGGCAGCAGCAGCTATGGCCCAGCTCCCCACAGCTTCCGTGTTTGGGGCACCAAGAGCTTCCTGTCCTGGACTTTGCCTGGCTGAGAATTTCACTGTGGTCTGTGGCGGCCACCATCTCCGAGGTCATATGTTTGAGCTGGGCATCAGCAGGGGGTACCTCCTGTTCTCCCGAGCCAGAGTTTTCCTTCTCTGAGTTCCTGCAGTCCTGAGCATGGCAGGGGGACCTGGTGGAGCTGACTGGAGCCTCTGAGGGGACCCCAGGAGCAGGCTGGGCACTGAGCCCTCCCCTCCTCCTGCCTTGCAGACCTCAGGCCCCGGGGCCTCCAGCGGCCCCAGCGGAGACCACAGTGAGCTTGTCGTCCGGATCGCCAGTCTGGAAGTGGAGAACCAGAGCCTGCGTGGCGGTGAGGCCCCGGGCCAGTGGGTAGGGGCTGTCCCTGGCCCCTGCCATCTAACCGTGCTCTCCTTGCCCCCACAGTGGTACAGGAGCTACAGCAGGCCATCTCCAAGCTGGAGGCCCGGCTGAACGTGCTGGAGAAGAGCTCGCCTGGCCACCGGGCCACGGCCCCGCAGACCCAGGTGAGTGCTCTCCCCACGCTTGACACTGCAGGGACCACGTGGCCCTGCTGGCTTCCATGTCTGCATGTACACTGGCTCCAGCAGCGATGAGCTGGCAGCCAGAATACTGGAGTCCTCAGGTCCCCAGGAAGGTTTACAGTTAGGCCTGCACTAATCCCCTGGGCAGGTAGAGGCAGTTCTTGTCTTTCCTGGGGCCTGCATGTGGGGAACCACAGCAGGGGTGCACAGGGGCTGCCCTTGCTCTGGTCGAGGGAGGGAGGAGGGCCTAGGAGGTGGCCAGGCAGCTCTGGGCCCTGGTTGGGGCGTCTCAGCCATGCCTTCTATCCCCTCCCCTGTGGCAGCACGTGTCTCCCATGCGCCAAGTGGAGCCCCCAGCCAAGAAGCCAGCCACACCAGCAGAGGATGACGAGGATGATGACATTGACCTGTTTGGCAGTGACAATGAGGAGGAGGACAAGGAGGCGGCACAGCTGCGGGAGGAGCGGCTACGGCAGTACGCGGAGAAGAAGGCCAAGAAGCCTGCACTGGTGGCCAAGTCCTCCATCCTGCTGGATGTCAAGCCTGTGAGTGGGCAGGGTGGAGCTTCTGGGGGCCGGGCATTGCCCTGGTGCCTGCCCAGCTGGCTCAGCCTGTGACCCTCCCTCCCCTGCTCTCTCGGTTCTGGGGAGACTTGAACGCCAAGTTGAGAAGTCTTGGGATAAACACAAACTTGGAGACAGGAAGGTGTGAATTTGCATTGTTTTCTGAAGGCCCTTTAAGGAAACAATTGTGTATACAGTGGGTAGGGGGTAGGGGGCACGCAGGTACTTCCTGGGTGTTCTGAGGGTGGCTGACCCCAGCTTTTCCTCCCCTTTCCCCACAGTGGGACGATGAGACGGACATGGCCCAGCTGGAGGCCTGTGTGCGCTCTATCCAGCTGGATGGGCTGGTCTGGGGGGCCTCCAAGCTGGTGCCCGTGGGCTACGGTATCCGGAAGCTACAGATTCAGTGTGTGGTGGAGGACGACAAGGTGGGGACAGACTTGCTGGAGGAGGAGATCACCAAGTTTGAGGAGCATGTGAGTGGGCTGGCCGGGGAGAGGAGGGGAGAGGAGACTGGGGGCCCCGGCCCATGCCCTGCACTCCACCCCAGGGCAGTGGGGAGCGAGTACCAGAGTGAACCCACTCAGAGGAGGCTCCTGACTCTGGGTGGGCTGTAGGGGAACAGCCCTGACCATCACCCTCCACTTCTCCTCAGGTGCAGAGTGTCGATATCGCAGCTTTCAACAAGATCTGAAGCCTGAGTGTGTGCGCGCGCGTGCCTGAGGCCCTGCCACAATTAAAGACTGAGACCAGCCCTCTGGCTCCTGTCCTGGTCATTTCCTGCTCGTACCTGGCCTGTCTCCCTCCCTGTCTCAGCCCCGTCTCTGCCCTGCTGCTCCCACACAGTCATCTCAGCTGCTGCACCTTCTGTGGCCATGTGACCTTGCCCCCAGCAGACTCTGCCTGTCCCTCCATCTCCTGGCCACTCCCTCCCAAAGCTCTGGCCCTCCGTCTTCTCCTTTCCATTGCAAAAGCAAGTCGAATTCATAGGGGTTTAAAAAGCCAGAAACAAACTGTTAGCTCACTATCTGGAGAGCCCACCACCCTACCACTCTGCTTCCTGTTGGCACTGTCCCCATGGGAGCAAGCGTGCAAGCCTGGAACTGTCCAGGAAAGAGGTCCCAATGGCTCCCGGCCCTGCTGCCATGCCGTTTGTCATGTGCTGTCACAGCCCTCCCCTCCCCTCATTCATTCCTGGAAGCCCTGCCCCCTTGCTCCAGGGACTGTGCCCCTCCCCTGATGTTCTGGGGTGGCCAGAGTGTGGCTGCCTGGGCTCTGTGGAGCTGTGCCTCAACATCCTGGCAGCCCCATGTGGTCAGCATGCATGGCCACGCTCCCTCCCCTGGACCACACATGTCTGCATTGGGGTGAAAAAGGATGGGGTGTAGGCCGGGCTCGGTGGCTCAAGCCTGTAATCCCAGCACTTTGGGAGGCCGAGACGGGCAGATCACGAGGTCAGGAGATCGAGACCATCCTGGCTAATATGGTGAAACCCCGTCTCTACTAAAAAATACAAAAAACTAGCCGAGCAAGGTGGCGGGCGCCTGTAGTCCCAGCTACTCGGGAGGCTGAGGCAGGAGAATGGCGTAAACCCGGGAGGCGGAGCTTGCAGTGAGCTGAGATCTGGCCACTGCACTCCAGCCTGGGCGACAAAGCGAGACTCCGTCTCAAAAAAAAAAAAAAAAAAAAAAGGATGGGGTGTAATTACTTGATTATTTCTGGTCAGACGGTGTCCTCAGGGCCCCAAGCCACAGGGGAATGGATTCCCCCTAGGTAGTGGCCCCTGACTTTGCCTTCAAAGCTTTAGAAAGTTTCCTGTGGGGCTTGGAGTGCAGGATCCCATAAAAGCCACCACTGAGGGACACTGGGCCTTCATAGCCACAGAAGGTCTTTTGGTGCCAGTCGACAGTGGGCCTGTGCCCCCCTGCCCCACGCCTCCCTTTCCTGGGTGCCAAGCTCTTTCCAAACGACATTTGCGTCCATCTGGGCTCCCTCGTCCTAGCCTGGCTGCTCAAGCTCCAACTAAGGCAGCCTCTGGCCTCCCTTCCCAGGCCCAGGGCAGAAGCTGGCTGCTGGCCAGCGGTTGTCTTCTGGGTCGGTGCGGGTGGAGTCTGGCTGGTCTGTCCTCCACCCTTTCCGCCTCCTGGCAAGTCCTGAGCTGCACCTCATTGCCCGGCCAAGGGGCGGAGACACGGGTGACTGGGGGCACCTCCGGTGACCAGGACGGGGCTGCGCTCCAAAGAGGCCGTTGGGCCTGGAGTGGGGTTGGGGGTCCGAGAGGAGCTGGGTGACATCTCCCACCCCATCCCGGGTTCAGCTGTTTCAGCCCCTCTCAGCGCACGGAGACTGTTAGACCCTTCCCGTCCTCCAGCGCGTCCCGTGCCCCTCCCAAACCGTACGCTAAGCCCCACCGGGAGTGCGCCATAGGCCGGGGCGCGTCACGGGGCCGGGGCGGGGCGGGCCGGGCCGGAGTCCGGACGTCGGGAGCGGGATGGCGGCGGAACAGGGCCCCGAGGGGCGCGCGGCGGCGCGGCCGCTGCTCACCGACCTCTACCAGGCCACCATGGCGTTGGGCTATTGGCGCGCGGGCCGGGCGCGGGACGCCGCCGAGTTCGAGCTCTTCTTCCGCCGCTGCCCGTTCGGCGGCGCCTTCGCCTTGGCCGCCGGCTTGCGCGACTGTGTGCGCTTCCTGCGCGCCTTCCGTCTGCGGGACGCCGGTAGTCCCCCTGCCTGCGCGACGAACCCCCCACGCCCGACGGAAGCCCTCACCCCGGGAGCCCCCCACGCCCGACGAACCCCTCACGCCCGACGGAAGCTCCCACCCCGGGAGCTCCCCCCCACGCCTGACCGAAACCCCCACCCCACGATCCCCCCCCACGCCCGACAGACGCCCCCACCTATGGCCGGTGGAAGTCCCCGCCCCACAATGGAACCCCCGATGTCCCACGACTGGTCTGTCCCCACGCTGGTCTCAGCGCAGTTACCTCGTTTCCCAGACGTGCAGTTCCTGGCCTCGGTGCTGCCCCCAGACACAGACCCTGCGTTCTTCGAGCACCTTCGGTCCCTCGACTGCTCCGAGGTGACGGTGCGAGCCCTGCCCGAGGGCTCCCTCGCCTTCCCGGGCGTGAGTAGGGGTGACCGGGCGGGGCGGCGGCCACGGGGTGCTGGGCCGGGCGCGGAGCTGACTTCGCTCCCCACAGGTGCCGCTCCTGCAGGTGTCCGGGCCGCTGCTGGTGGTGCAGCTGCTGGAGACACCGCTGCTCTGCCTGGTCAGCTACGCCAGGTGGGCTGCGGGCCGCTGGCAGGGAGCGTGGGTTTGGGATGGGCCCCCAGCGCTGGGGCTCCGTGCTGGACTGTGGCAGCAGGACTGGCTGCCCAGGGTCCCAGGGCTGGCCTCCCACCCCCACTGTGTAGGGTGTAAGGAGGGGTTGGGTGAGGGTGGAGTTCCCAGGTTGGAAGTTCCAGGCCCCAGGTAACCGCTGTCTTGGTTGGCCTGGCGACCCTCACCCTGGGCCCCGTGACTCTTGTCTCCCTACAGCCTGGTGGCCACCAATGCAGCGCGGCTTCGCTTGATCGCAGGGCCAGAGAAGCGGCTGCTAGAGATGGGCCTGAGGCGGGCTCAGGGCCCGGATGGGGGCCTGACAGCCTCCACCTACAGCTACCTGGGTGGTGAGGGTCTGGTGCGGGGGAAGGCAAGGTCCGGGAAGGAGGAGCCCCATCCTGGCCCAAAGTCCCCCAATCCCACACCTTCCTCCCCAGGCTTCGACAGCAGCAGCAATGTGCTAGCAGGCCAGCTCCGAGGTGTGCCGGTGGCGGGGACCCTGGCCCACTCCTTCGTCACTTCCTTTTCAGGCAGTGAGGTGCCCCCTGACCCGGTCAGTCCCTCCTCTCAATCCTGCTGTCTCCAGGCGACAGGCCTCAAGCCAGCCCTTGCCCTGGGGAGAGGTGTGCCACCCAGGCAGGTCACCCCAGTGCTGTCCCAGGAAGCTGGCACAGGCTGCATTACCTTTGCCCTCAAACTAGGGTGTCCCTGGCTGCTCCCAGGCCTCATTCTGCATTCCTGGCCCCCATTCTTCACCAACCCCATTCCACAGATGTTGGCGCCGGCAGCTGGTGAGGGCCCTGGGGTGGACCTGGCGGCCAAAGCCCAGGTGTGGCTGGAGCACGTATGTGCCCACCTGGGGCTGGGGGTGCAGGAGCCACACCCAGGTGAGCGGGCAGCCTTTGTGGCCTATGCCTTGGCCTTTCCCCGGGCCTTCCAGGGCCTCCTGGACTCCTACAGCGTGCGGAGGTAAGCCCAGGCACTTTAGGAGTGGGCTCAGCAGAACCTCGGCAGCCCCTGACCCCCTTATCCATTCCTGCAGGAGTGGTCTCCCCAACTTCCTAGCAGTCGCCCTGGCCCTGGGAGAGCTGGGTTACCGGGCAGTGGGCGTGAGGCTGGACAGTGGCGACCTGCTACAGCAGGCCCAGGAGATCCGCAAGGTCTTCCGAGCTGCTGCAGCCCAGTGAGTTTCCTGGGGAGGAGGCGTGCCTGGTGGGAGACCCCTGGGAAGCCAGGCTTTGGGAATGGAGCAGGGAAGGACAGTGAGGCACTCGGCTGTAGTTTCAGAGGTGATACTGCAGGCTGTGGCAGGGAGGTAAGGGGTGGGGCTCCCTAGGAGCTCCCAAGCAGGTGAGCGTAGGTGTCCCTGACGGAGGTGGGGGGGGGAGCGGGGGGACACTGGGGTGAATCAGGAAGACCTGAGAGGCGGCCCCCACCCCTTCTCCACCCACGTGGCAGGTTCCAGGTGCCCTGGCTGGAGTCAGTCCCCATTGCAGTCAGCAACAACATTGATGAGGAGGCGCTGGCCCGACTGGCCCAGGAGGTGGGGTGGATGAGGGGGTAGGCAGAGGGTGGCTGGGGGGTTCCTGGGGGCCCCTGCAGGTTCTGGCTGGGCTCACTGCCACCTCCTTTCCCCCACCCAGGGCAGTGAGGTGAATGTCATTGGCATTGGCACCAGTGTGGTCACCTGCCCCCAGCAGCCTTCCCTGGGCTGCGTCTATAAGGTGGGAACAGTGTTGGGGGCCCAGGTGGGGGCAGGTCTGAGGGATGGTGCTGGGTGGGGCATGAGGACCAGCCAGCTCAACGCCCTCTCCCTGCAGCTGGTGGCCGTGGGGGGCCAGCCACGAATGAAGCTGACCGAGGACCCCGAGAAGCAGACGTTACCTGGGAGCAAGGCTGCTTTCCGGCTCCTGGGCTCTGATGGTGAGACCCTCCCATCCCCCCGCTGTCTACCTTCAAAACACCAGGGACCCCCCTTATTCTTGCCCCCACCCACACAGGGTCTCTACTTATGGATGTGCTGCAGTTAGCAGAGGAGCCAGCACCACAGGCTAGACAGGAGCTGAGGGTATGGCCTCCAGGGGCCCAGGAACCCTGCACCGTGAGGCCAGCCCAGGTGGAGCCACTACTGCGGCTCTGCCTCCAGCAAGGACAGGTGGCTACCCCACCGCCCTCACCTGCCCCCCAGCCCCAGTAGAGCCCTGACCAGGAGCCAGCCCCAAGCTTCTCTTTCCTTGCCTCTTCCCTGCAGCTATGTGAGCCGCTCCCATCCCTGGCAGAGTCTAGAGCCTTGGTCCAGCTGTCCCTGAGCCAACTCAGCCCTGAGCACAGGCGGCTGCAGAGCCCTGCACAGTACCAGGTTGGAGGGAGGCCTGCCCTGTCATTCTGCCCTGTGTGCCCCTGCCCTCACCATGCCCACCACTCTCCTTCTCTGCTCCCTGCAGGTGGTGCTGTCTGAGAGGCTGCAGGCCCTGGTGAACAGTCTGCATGCAAGGGCGTCCCCCTGAGACTGCCAGCTACAGGCCCCAGTGGACAGTCTGCGTGCAGCAGCCTCCCCCTAAGACTCAGAGCGGGGCTGCCTGGAAACAACATGAATCACTCACTTCTCCCCACAGCTTGTCCTGTGTTGTTTGTGTCATTTGTTCACCCAGCCCACACTCACCTGGCCCCAGGGCCTCCCGGGCTGGGGCTGGGCTGGAGTCGGGAATCTGAGCTGAGCTGGAGGGAGCAGGAGGGTTTGCATCCCAGTGAAAGCACAGGCCCTGCCGGGTTGGGAGACAGCCCTGTACTGAAGCCTGAAGGGCAGTGAGGAGTTCCCCGACTTGGGGTGGGCTGTAGGGAGTCAGATCCCACAGTAGAGCTGCGAGCGCACAGGCAGGGAGGGGTTTGGTGTCTGCCTTGAAGTTGAGGGAGTTGCTGCGGAAGACCTTTCCTTGCTAGAGGCAGGCTGGGGGCGGGACAGGATGGGGGTCAGTGCCAAGTAAGAGGGTCCAGCCGTGGCCCTGGGCTTCCACGCCTGCCTAGGCACCGTCCCCCAGGCTCAGGGTAAGTGAGAACATCTCAAACTCCCCATGCCAAAAGGGAGAGCTCAGGTGTCTCCTGCCACTGCTGCTGCCAACCCGGCACCCCCCTGACATCTGACCTCAGGGACACAGCTCCTGACCCAGCAGCCCACGGAAGGAGAGGAAGAATGGGGAAGAAGTTGAAGCTCCAGGAGCTGACTCAGCCCCAGACACCTGACCGGAGTGGCACTGCATGTGGCTGTGTGCTGGGCTGGCCCTGCCTCTGCGCCAGCAAGTTCCTGATCTCAGGGTTCCACCAGTTTGGGCAACACGAGCTTCAGAGGAACTGCTTGGGAGAGGGGTTACAGGCTTGGCAGGAAGTGGAGGCTGGGGGCCTGGGCCTCTCGTCCAAGCAACCTGAGGTGGCACAGAAAGGCAAGGGCGTGGGGGAATGCCGACCACCTGGGGTGCGTCAGGGGCACTTCCGTCTGCCAGGCATTCCACCAGACCAGCTCATCTGGCTCCCCGGGGCTCAGGATGGGCAGCATCCACTGTGTGGTTGGCTGAGGGTGGAGGGTGGGGACTCAGAGCAGAGGCCCGGTCCAGCCAGCCCCGGGGAGTACCAGCTAGGACAGAGATACAGACTCACACACACTGGACAGAACACACCACACCCCAGGCCCACAGGGCACCCGTGCACTCCGAGGGGCCCAGCCAGGGTGGCTGTATTCCGTTCTTGCACTGCTGTAAAGAAATACCTGAGACTGGGGTAATTTCTAAGGAAGAGAGGTTTAATTGGCCCGTGGTTTCACAGGTACAGGAAGCATGGCTGGGGAGGCTTCAGGAAACTTACCATATTGGCAGAAGGGGAAGCGGCAGGTCTTACAGGGCCGGAGCCGGAGGAAGGGGTGGGGCGGTGCCACACGCTTTCAAAAAACCAGATCCTGAGAACTCTATCATGGGGACAGCACCGAAGGGGGAAGTCGCCCCCAGGATCCAGTCACCTCCCACCAGGCCCCACCTCCAGCACCGGGGATTACATTTCAATGTGAGATTTAGCCAAGGACCCAGGACCCAGAGGACCTGCACAAGCTCTGGAGAGGCCGCCGCTCCTCTGGCATCTTCGCTGCCCGCTCCACCCCTCCGGACTGCCCCAAGCTCACCCAGTCATGCCTGTTCCAGGGTGTCTGACTGAGCCAGCGTGCAGGGGGCGGGGCTAGCCTCTAGCCCCAGGCCCAGTGGGGAGCCGACTGCCGTTTGGGGGCTGAATTACGCCTCCGCTCATGGTGGGGCGCAGACTCCTGGACCCTTCGAGGACCTCCTCAGAGCTGTCCAGAACTGCCCTGAGCCCCCTGGTCAACAGGAGCTGGTAGTCAGGGTGAGGGCCCTTCTCCCCCTTTCTTTGTGGATCTGCCAGCTCTTGGGGATCCTGTTCCCAGGGCCCTGGTGGGTAGAGCCACACCACAGGCACTCAGGCTCCAGGTGGCCACTCCCCTCCAGCAGCCCAGGCAGGGGGGCCCCTCAAAGGCCCATTGTAGGCACCTCCGTGTGGCTCCCCAGCCCCCACAAGCTCACGCTCACACACGCACCACCACGCCCATCCGTGGTCCCGCCTGTGGTCCCGCCCGTGGTCCCGCCTGGGCCAGCTTCTAGGTCAGTCCTGGGCATAACTTCCCAGGAGAAGCAGTGGCAGGTGCTGCAGGCAAGGGCCGCCATGGCTGGGGGTGTGTGGGGCCGGGCCCGGGAGGCTCCCGTGGGGGTTCTAACCCTGACAGCACTGACTGAAGGAATCCGAGCCAGGCAGGGGCAGCCCCAGGGACCCCCTTCCACAGGCCCTCAGCCCAGGTCCTGGGAGCTCAAACCTGAAGCTGAGCCACAGACCCAGGCACTCACTGCCCCCTCTGAGGCTGAGCCTGGACGTGGGGCCACCATCCCTGAAGCTGGCAGCGAGCCCTGCTCTCCCAACAGTGCCCTGGAACTAGCCCCTGAGGGGCCCCACCAGGTGAGGGGTGAGGGAAGGGATGTTGTGGGAACCAGTTGGGGGGGTCCTGTGGATGCTAGGTGGAAGGCGGCAGCGGGGGGCGGGAGCGGTGCTGGACCTGGGGGAGGCGAAACAGGCTGGCGGGCAACAGAGGAGCAAGGGATTTTGTAGGAAGCCAGGTGGGAGGCTGAGAGACCAGGAGGAGAGCTAGGAGAGGTTTGGACACTTCAGACGCCCCACCCATCCTGCCCTAGGTTCCCCAGAATTCCTGGGAGGAGGGAGTTCTTGCCGACCTCGCATTGTACATGGCTGCCTGCCTGGAGGAGGCTGGCTTTGCAGGGACGCAGGCGACAGCGCTCACCCTGTCCTCAGCCCTGGAGGCCCGAGGGGAGCGGTTGGAGGACCAGGTCAGCCTCCACCCACTCCATGCTCTACAGACTCCTGCCGGTTCGGGAACCAAGGTGGTGGGAGGGGCCTGGAGAGCGCAGCCTGACCCCGCCACCTTCAGGCTGCTCCTGCCAGGTGGGATCAGGGTGGGGGTGGAGGTGGGGTGCAGGCCAGAGGGGAATGGACGGTGGAGGGGGCCTGACTGCTGAAGTCTGCACTCCTCCCCACCAGGTGCATGCTCTGGTGCGTGGACTGCTGGCGCAGGTGCCCAGCCTGGCGGAGGGGAGGCCCCGGAGGGCGGCCCTGCGAGTGCTGAGCGCGCTGGCCCTGGAGCATGCGCGGGACGTGGTGTGTGCGCTGCTACCCCGCTCTCTGCCCCCCAATCGGTAACCCAACCGTCCTGGTCCTGGCCCTGCGGTCCCCACGCGGCTTCCTTCCTGCTTCCCGCTTGGCGGTGGAGTCTGGCCCCAGAAGAGGGAGCTGAAAGGGGGCAGGGCCTCCTTATTCCAGCCCCGTGATGACTCGTGCCCCGTATCCGTTCCCGCTCCCCTCACTTTTTGCTCTGCAAACTCCCCCCGCACTCCTGCCACAGAGTTTCTGATGCTGGGCTCCTCTTTTGGAGCCACCTTCTATCTTCGGGTGGTCTCCCCTGGAGACCATCCTGGGGTTGGCTCTGGAGTGGGGTGAATGAGGCTGGGGGGCTAATGTGCCTGGACATCCTGGCTCTTTGGTTAATTTGCCCCAGAAGTTATCTTTGGTTTTATTCTCTGCGGCGATTTTTTTTTTTTAAATAATGCCAGGTTTATTTCACTGTGGCAGACCCAACAGGACTCCCAGTGGGTCCCACCCTGCAGCTCGGTTTGAGACAGGCTGTGCTGTGGTCTGCACAATTCACACTCCATTTGTTTCTCTGGGATTTGGGGATGGGGAGAGATGCGGGTGGTTGTTTCCTGCCCCTCCCCTGCTGGAGTCCTACTGGCTGCCTTCACCCTGGCTGTGGACTCCCTACATCCCCTGGACACCCACCCCTGCACCCATTCCTTGTCTCACACCAGCCCCCTCCAAACCCTCAGGGCAGCAGCCGAGCTCTGGCGCAGCCTAAGCCGTAACCAGCGTGTAAATGGGCAGGTGCTGGTGCAACTGCTGTGGGCGCTGAAGGGTGCTTTGGGGCCTGAACCCCAGGCGCTGGCGGTAGGTGGCTCCAGCCATTACCACGGGGCAGGCGTGGGGAGGACGGGAGGGGGGGGGGGGGGGGGGGGGGGGGAGAAGAGGTGGAGAGGGGAGGGAAGAGGGTGGGGACAGGGAGTTTGCACCTAGGTAACTGCTCCTGGAATGTCCCACGCATGTCTGAGGCTTAGTCCCCATCCTGTCGACGGCACGCCTGTCCCTCTGCTGCCCAGTGAAGCTCTGGACGGGCCCCAGGCCTAACTGGGCCACTTGCTCCACAGGCCACGCGGGCTCTGGGGGAGATGCTGGCTGTTTCAGGCTGCGTGGGAGCCACGAGGGGCTTCTACCCACATCTGCTGCTTGCGCTGGTCACACAGCTGCACAAGCTGGCCCGCAGCCCGCACTCCCCGGACATGCCCAAGATTTGGGTTCTGTCCCACCGAGGGCCACCACACAGCCATGCCAGGTGAGAGGCAACACCAGGGTACGTGGGGCGGACCAGCATGCTGTCACCCTCTCAGCCCCCACTGCCCGCCTGCTCACTGTCCCCACCACCAGCTGTGCCGTGGAGGCGTTAAAGGCCCTGCTCACCGGGGATGGAGGCCGCATGGTGGTCACATGCATGGAGCAGGCAGGAGGCTGGAGGAGGCTGGTGGGAGCCCACACCCACCTGGAGGGTGTCCTGCTGCTGGCCAGGTAAGGAGGGGCCCCAGGAAGTCATATCAGGAAGAGACTCGTTGCTGGCCAGGTGCTGGGCAGGGGGACAGGGAAAAGGCAGGGGCATGAGGGTGGTGTTGGGATGGCGTCTTCTCGAGGAGTAAGGCCGCCATTTCCACCCACCCCAGTGCTATGGTGGCACATGCCGACCACCACCTGCGAGGCCTCTTCGCAGACTTGCTTCCGCGGCTGCGCAGCGCGGACGACCTGCAGCGCCTCACGGCTATGGCCTTCTTCACCGGGGTGAGCCTGCTTCCCGGATGGGTGGTGAAGGGTGACCCTGGACTTGATCCCTGAGTCGCAGCGGCCTGCACGGGGACCGCGGGCGTGCTGACCCCGTGTGCCTCGCCTAGCTGCTGCAGAGCAGGCCCACCGCACGGCTCCTGCGGGAGGAGGTCATCCTGGAGCGACTACTCACCTGGCAGGGAGACCCTGAGCCCACCGTGCGCTGGTTGGGCCTGCTGGGCCTGGGCCACCTCGCGCTGAATCGCAGGAAGGTGAGAGAAGGGGAGGGGTGGAGAGAGTCCTGACCGGGTCGCGGCGAGGTCTGCAGGAGGCTGAACTCGAGTCCCAGCAGGTGCGGCACGTGAGCACACTGCTGCCGGCGCTCCTGGGCGCACTGGGCGAAGGCGACTCCCGGCTCGTGGGTGCAGCGCTGGGCGCCCTGAGGAGGCTCCTGCTGCGGCCGCGGGCGCCTGTGCGGCTCCTGAGCGTGGAGCTAGGGCCGTGCCTCCCTCCGCTGCTGGACGACGTGAGCAAACTCCCCGCCTCCGGTCTCCGTCCCTCCGGCTGTCGCCGCCCCCGCCCCTCCAGTTTCTCCCTCCCAGGCCCCGCCCCGCCCCTCCAGTCTCTCCCTCCCAGGCCCCGCCCCGCCCCGCCCCGCCCCTACCCGCCCCTACCGTCTCTACCTCCCAAGCCCCGCCCTCTCAGGCCCCGCCCCTCCCCCCCAGTCGCTCCTTCCCAGGCCCCGCCCCCAGTCTCTCCCTCCCAGGCCCCGCCCCACCCCTAACGTCTCTCCCTCCTAGGCCCCGCCCTCCCAGGCCCCGCCCCTCTAGTGTATCCCTCCCAGGCCCCGCCCCCTAAGGCCCCGCCCCCTCCAGGCCGCCCCGCCCCGCCCCTCCAGTTTCTCCCTCCCAGGCCCGGTCCCCCACTCCCCCCCAGCCCATCTCTCCCTCCCAGGCTTCTTCCCGCCCGCCCGCCGGCTGTCGCCCAGCTCCGCCCCTCCGCCAAGCTCCGCCCCGCTAGACTTTTCCTTCCAGATCCCATCCCTCCAAGCCCCACACCCCGTAGGGGCACCCCAGGCTTCCCAACCAGGTCCAGCTCCAGGCCCTGTTCCCTGTCCCCAGATCGCACTGAGTCAGCAGCCTTCCCCAGACCCCCGCTTCCTCGCTCCGCGATGGCCAGCCCCTCCCCCCCTTGCAGCCCCTCTCATGCTCCGCCCGCCCTGACTGCGCCCTTCCACGCAGACACGGGACTCAATCCGCGCCTCGGCGGTCGGGCTCCTTGGGTCTCTGGTGCGCCGGGGCCGGGGCGGGCTCCGGCTGGGGCTCCGTGGCCCCCTGCGGAAGCTGGTGCTGCAGTGTCTCGTGCCACTCCTGTTGCGCCTGCATGACCCCAGCAGGGACGCTGCTGAGGTCAGCTGCCCCCCACACCATGCCACCCCTATGCCATCCAACACTTCCCACTCCCACCGTGCCTCCCCTCTCCCACCATGCCTCCCCTCCGACAATTACAGGTCAGGGACCCCCATCCCAAGGACCTCAGGGGCAGGCGTCACGGGCGACCAGGTTACTACTGCTCTTCCCTTGAGATTCACTCCGGGCCCCTGCCCTGGGCTCTTTTGCCCCTCACCCGATGCCCTTGCTCCCCCTCTTCTCACCCCCACCTTTTGCCTTTCTACTTCCTGGACCCCTGACCCGGCTCCCTTCCCCTATCCCAGAGCTCAGAGTGGACCCTGGCCCGCTGCAACCAGGCCTTTTGCTGGGGCCTGCTGGAGGAGATGGTCACCGTGGCCCACTATGACAGCCCCGAGGCCCTGAGCCACCTCTGCCGCCGCCTGGTCAGTAGGGGAAGCAAGCTGACCACAAGGGGGTATGATCAGCTGCCCACTTGTTCCAGGGTTCACCGGGGCCCCCAAACCGTTTCTACCGCAGCCAAACCAGATAGTCAGGCTACTGGTGGAACAAGTCCAAGGCCTCAGACCATGCCACCTGCCTTGGGGGCTCCCCTGGAACCCCGGCCCCTGGATTCAGCTCTGCAGCCTCTTCCACACTCAGGATCACCCTCCTGTCCTGCCACTAGCCCTTTTGTCCCCAGGTTCAGCGATACCCAGGCCACGTGCCCAACTTCCTGAGTCAGACCCAGGGCTACCTGCGGAGTCCACAGGACCCCCTGCGCCGGGCAGCCGCCGTACTTATAGGTGAGACCGCCCGGGGTCACACTGCCCCTGGCACCGGGGCTGTGGGGGCTGGGCCAGTCCCACCCTGTGGGGCTGTGGGGCCCGTAGTCATGCATCTGCTGTGGTCCAGGCTTCCTTGTCCACCACGCCAGCCCCGGCTACGTCAACCAGGACCTGCTGAGCTCCCTGTTCCAGGGTGAGGCCCCACCTTGCAGGTGATGGTGTTCTGGAGAGGTGGCTGGTGCTAGGGCGGAGTGGACGGGAGCGGTGGGTGGAGGGCCGGGGGCCCGGGCACTCGGCCCTCCTGGGCTCCCCGCCTGAGCTGCGATCTCTTCGCAGACCTAGGGCAGCTACAGAGCGACCCCGAGCCGGCTGTGGCCGCGGCAGCGCACGTGTCCGCCCAGCAGGTGGCAATGCTGGCCCGCACCCGGGACCGCCCCCGCAGGCCCCGCCTCCTCCGCCTCGCCCCGCGCCCCGCCCGGCCCCCACCCGTCTTCGGCGACAGCCCCTTCCAGCGCCCAAGCCTGGCGGGCCGCTGGGGCTGCTCCGGACCCCACCGAGTTTGAGGCTGGGGGCTGGGACCCACGGGCCAGGGTCCGACTCGAGGACCCCACGGGCACAGCAGCCCGTCCCCACCCCGACGGAGGGGCTCCCTGGGCCTGGTGCTGGATGCCAGTGCCCGCACCCACCCCCCACCACCGCGCCCCCTTTTCAGGCACCCACCACCCTGATGGCGACGCAGAGGGACACCCGGCACCCATCTGTCCCTGTCAGGGCTCTTGTTCTCACAGCCCCCTGGAGCGTGCCCCGTGCCCCACCTTGGGCCTGGCTCCTGGCCCAGATGGCATCTGGCCTCTTGAGTCTGGTGGAGGACCCCAAAGCTGGTGGTCCCATAGGCTGCCCTCCTGGGTCTCCACCTCATGCCTGGACAGGACGCTGTGGCCTGTCCGGGCCTTGGCCGGCCCTGCAGCTGCACCCCCGATCCTCATCCTGCAACCCATTCCTTGTTAGCATCCTGAGACTCCTGGCGGGCATCCTCTCTGCTCAAGAGTGTTGACCTGTCTCCCGGCCGCACCTGCTGTGCCCCCTCAGCCAAGCCATCATCATCCCCCCTTCATCACGTCAGGCCTCATAGGAACCAGGCCTTCTCCAGAAGCTGCCCTGACCTCCCCCAAGCTGGACCACGTAGGCCCTGGATCACACCTGGGGGTTCAGATGTGGGGGTCCTGTGTGCACACCCAATCAGACTGAGCACTCATGATACTACCCCAGCACCTCTCCCAGGGTTAAATGAGGAATGCGCCACTGGACACATGAGGAAGAGGCTGTTCTGGGAGCCGCCAGTGCTGTGCCCTCACCTCTCTGACTTTGTACAGCAGGTTCCTGCACCTAGGATGCCTGCCTGGAAATGTCCTCACATTCAAGGCCTCCTTTGCAGCCTCCTCCTCAGTGAAGCCTCCACACGTGCACAGGGCGTGTGCACAGCCTTGTGAAGGGCTGGGACCATTTCCCCAGACTGGGGCCTCAGGAGCAGGCATGGGGTCCTCCTGACCTGTCTCCCCAGCTCCTGTACAGAAAACATCTAAAATAAACACACATGGATGGAAAGCGTTGAGCATCTGTTTCGAATGTGGTTATGGGAGCTGACCCTGGTCCAAGATCTGGCTCAGGCTGGGGTCATAAGCCATAGGCCCTGACGTGGCCCCAGGTAAAGAGCCGGTTTGGCAGCAGGGTTAAAGGTCAGGCAGGCTCCAGGCACAGGCTATGGCCAGGTCAGGTTGGGTTAACTGTAAGACAGAGAAGCTGCACTCTGGTCTAACAGGCACGGAATGGATGGGGTTAGAGCTGTCAGCACTGGGGTGAGGGTCTCTTTGCAGGTCATATGCAGGAAGCTGAGGATCAGGTTAAGGGCATGGGTCTCGGTGGAGCAGGGGGCAAGGTTTGGTGGATTAGTTTGGCTCCTCCACGGCAGATACCAAAATGGGATTCAACATACAAGAAACAGATCAATAGAAGGTCAGAGAGGCCAGAGGCAACCAGATGCCCAGTGAAGGTCAGATGGAAGCACCTTGGACGTCCGTGCTAGCCTTCAGGAAGCTCTCAAGCCAGCCATCTGTCCAAGGTCCACACCTCCCAGGACAGGCTGGGAGCACCCATGGGGGGCACACCCTGAGCACTGGCAGGGACGGGTTTTAGGACACAGCCACATGGATCCTCTCGGTAGCAGCCCCAAAGAGGGAAGCAAGCCCGGCCTCCTTGCTCACCTTGCAACCAGGAGCCAGCCCCCAGGGCAAGCATGTGCTGCCAACCTAGCAGAGGCTTGCCCACACTGCACAGCACCCTGGACAGTCTTGCGGGCAAACCCAACAGTGATGCTATGCTCACTCCAGATGGGGGCTCAGGCAGGGAGCGCACTGTGGTGTGCAGGCAGCATCCCGTGCTCCTCCCCTCTCTCATGGTGCCCGGGAGAGTCCGTGCCATCCTGCAGCAGGCTGTCTGCAGTACAGGCATGGCTTGCACCACACAGCTGCCTGTTAGGAATGTGTCCAGCCCTGCCTTGCTCTGGCACTGCCCAGAACCTGGTTGCCCTGCCAGGAGGAGTGAGGTTCATGCAAAGTCCATCTGGTCTCTGGAGTGTGACTCTTCCCTGCTGGAATTCCTGGGAGGCTCCAGGTGGCACAGGGGGCTGGTCCCTCCATGGGGATGCTGTGGCCCCCGGGGTCCATCAGACCCACCTGCAGAGAGCCCACCCCAGGGCAAATCTTCCAACGGGGTCTAAGATTGGAGGGCAAGAGGGCAGGTGCACCCTGACACTCATTCCCTTTCCCCCTCTAGCCAGTGGGCCAGGAAAGTCTTGGCCTTGATGCCCAATCTCTAATGGGCAATGTTGCCGAGAGCTCACTGGTGGTGCAACGCTCAAGATGGGGCTCAGGTGTGGCCTGTCGCGTGGCATGGCCTTGATGGTCTCAGGGCGCGGAGGCTTTGCCTTGTGTGCCTGCCCATTTCAAATGCTTTCTTGGACCCGGGCTACTCCTACCCCACTCACCCTTTCGAGTCACCCGAAAGGGTTTTCAAAGGAGGACCATGAGTCTGAGAGGCGTTGAGTTTGTTCCTACACTGTGGGTGGGAGTGTCTAGGAAGTTCTGTAACTTGGATCTGAGATATCTGGAGTTTGCTTTGTCTCCTGTTTCAATGTTAATGTCACTATTCATAGCAATACCCCATGTCTACAAAACATTAAAAAATTAGCCAGAACTGGTGGTATGTGCCTATAGTCCAGCTACTCAGCAGGCTGAGGCGGGAGATCTCCTTGAGCTCAGGAGATCGAGGCTGCTATGAACCATGATTGTGTCACTATGCAGCCTGGGCGACAGAACAGGACCCTGTCTCTTAAAAAAAATTTTTTTTAAAAGTCTGCCGGGCAAGGTGGCTCACACCTGTATTCCTAACACTTTGGGAGGCTGAGGTGGGTGGATCACAAGGTCAAGAGATCGGGACCATCCTGGCCAACATGGAGAAACCCCGTCTCTAGTAAAAATGCAAAAATTAGCCGGGTGTGGTGGTGCGTGCCTGTCGTCTCAGCTACTTGGGAGGCTGAGGCAGGAGAACTGCGGGAGGCGGAGGTTGCAGTGAGCCGAGATCACGCCACTGCACTCCAGCCTGGCGACAGAGAGAGACTCTGTCTCAAAATATAAATAAATAAATAAAAATAAAAATAAAATTAAAAAAAAAGATCACTGTTGGGACTGGATACCAGGTTTTCTGGTGGATTCAATGTCCCAGTTGTAGCTGAGTCCACTGTTCCTTCTCTTTTGCAAGCTCTGCAAGTTGTGTGGCCATTGTGTGCCCTGCTAGAAGCAGGGAAGGCTAGCCACCGTGTGCAGGTAGACTGGTCCCCACCAAGGAAGGCTGTCCACTCTCCCAGGAACAATAACTCCCTGGCCACACCAAGTGTTGCGTGTCCCTCCCTGGACCTAGAGGCCACAGCTGCTGAGCTCCTGCAAGTAAGCAACTTGATGTGACTCTGGACCTGCTTAATTCCCACAGGTCAGGGGTCCTCCTCTCTCCAGGCTCTTAGCTCAGGCAAGTAGATGAGGGTGAAACGGACTAAAGGTCAGTTTCGTTAGTATTGCTTCCCTGGGAACCTCCTGTGTGGCCCCAGGAAGGCAGGGCCTGTCATCAGTCACACCTACACCCCTAAAGCCCCTGTGGGCTGAGGATGGCCACACCCTTCTGCGGCACATGCCTCAAGCTCCCTGAAGCAGAGGTTCCTGCCATGCCTCAGCCATGGACACGCCTGGTGGAACTGTCTCACCTACATCGCCCTGCCCTTCCTCACAGGCAGAGAAACACACAGACCGGTGGGCAGGGCCACAGGCCCATTACTCTAGAGCGGCCAAGCCCAGCATGGGGCTCTCCTTAGCTCTAGGGTGCAAAAGAAGCCGGACGATGCAGACATCACCTGCACGTGGCCCTGATGTCCCTCCTGATCCTGCATGGGTACTGTCCCCACCCCTACCCACCCTACCCAGATCCAGGACCCCTCAAAAACTCTGCTACCAGCCTTTCCTTCGTACACCACCTTTACTGTGTTTCCCCAGCTCCTGGGCCCCATGGTAGACTGGCCACGTGGCTGCTGGGCTTCTGGCCTTCCTAGGGCTGGCAGCTGGTGGGCAAACACTCTGCCCTGCTGGAGAGCTGCCAGGCCATGCTGGGCACAGGCTAGTGGGGCTCCTGGCTCAGTCCCGATAGCAGTGTCAGGGAGGCGTAGAGTGCACACATGCGGCCCTGGGCCTGCGGCTCCCAGCACACGTGGGGCGTGTCCTCCCCCAGCTCCAGGCCACACTCCTCCAGCAAGACCCAGGCCGGTGCCCCTTCACCCCAGCTGCTCCCCAGGAGCCCGGGGGGCAGGGACATGGTGCTGCGCTCCTGCCACGGGGCACTCTGCTCCAAGAGGCTGCCCACCTGCCAAGACAGGGCAGGAGTTTGTCAGATGGGGAATCCTGGGCACCTTGGGCCTGCCCATACCATCCCTTCTCAGGTGCAACAGTGCCCCTTCCACTGGCTCAGCCCATCCTCCTGCAGCCCGAACCCTCTCACCAGCTCGAGCGGCCCCAACAGGGTCTGCGACTCCAGCGCCTCCGCCAGCAGCTCGTGCTGCGTTTCACTCAGCACTGGGAGAGAGTCAGGTAAGAGGCGGTTCCTGAAGGCCCATCTGGGAACGCCCACCTCTCTCCCTCCCACTCCCCACCTGCCCCCAGGGGCCGCTCACTGGTCAGTGCCCCCAGCAGGTAGACAACGGGGACGACAAGTTCCGGCACCAGCATTCTGGATTCCAACACCAGGCACTCCAGGACAGCACCTGCTGGACCGTCCAGGGACTCCACTGGCCCAAGGCTCGGGCCCTGCTCCAGCTGTGGGCATGGGAGGGGCAGGTGAGCCTGGCTGGCTGGGCAGGCCCTGTGTGCCCCGGGCACCCTCCCCTGCTCACCGCCTCCTCCAAGGTTCGCAGGGCCAGCTGGTCCCGCAGCACCCCCTCCAGGCCCTCCAGCAGCAGCTGGCACAGCGCTCTGTCCAAGAGCTCCAGTTCCTTGGAGATGGCCTCCACCTCTGCCCTTAGGCCCTGGAAGTCTTCAGTGAACGTCTCCTCCGCAGGGACCCCATCTGTAGGAACAGAGGAGCTGGCACTGCCTAGGTGCTTACAGGGCCCTGGAAAGCCTTGGTCAGGATAGGCAGACCCCAGGGGGCAAAAGGAGAGCCCACCAAAGGTCCCCAGGGCGGTCAGGAGGGCACTGACCTGCCGACAAGTTGTGGAGGCACCCCATCATGGAGAGGACTGAGGGCAGCTGTGGCCAGGCGCCTACACTCCTGGAAGGCTTGTGGCCTGGGCAGGGGTATGGGAGGGCAGGGCTGGTCAGTGCGGGAGATGGGTGTCTGAGCCAGAGAGGGCTGAGGCCTTCTCTGGGCTGTCACAGCCCCGGCCACCACCTCTAACAATGGCAGCCCAGGGCAGGGAGGGAGGCCAGGGAGGCCCAGGGTCAGCTGTCCTGTGTCACCCCTTCTGTGTGTATGGGGGGTGCCCACCGCCTTAGGGGGCTGCCCGGCCTCCCTATGCCCTGAGAACATGAGAAGAAAGCCTCAATTGCCAAGGAAGTGTGCTTTTCCCACTGGACACCCCACGCTGGGGTCTCTCGGTTCTCACCTGTCGGGGGCGGCTGGAAGGTCCTCTGCTTCTTATCCGGGAAGAGAAGGATGTCTGCCAGCCAGGCGGGAACAGACAGGGACAGGCATGTCACCTAGATCCCAGCCTCCCCTCCCCTCCCCTACTGGGAGCTCCCCTGTCCAGCTCAGGCCCTGCCCAATCACCCACACACCAGAGCACAGGACCTCAGCCACCTGCCAGACACAGGACGTTGTTCAGCCAGGGGCCCACAGCAGCCCATGCTGGCAGGTAGCTCTCCCCAGGCTGCCCTGCTTCTCTTCCAGAGCCTGGGCCTGAGACACCCCCAACTCCAGCTCACCCAAGTCAGAGTTAATAACCAGCTGGGCCACTCGAAATGCGAGGATGCTGCCTGAGGGGATGGTGACCGTCTTCTTCTGGCTCAGGTGGCCC